ACATAGTCTCACTATTATTTTTCCTCAGTGAAAGTATTCCTCTATCATCAACAGCTTGTTGGCTATTTTATCATGTGACTTCTTGAGTTCAATGAAGACACACGCTTATTTTCACTGAATGGGAAATTATCATGTCTATATGCAACCCTGACTTGTGGTGATGTGAAAATGATCTCAGTTAGAATACTGAATAATGTTTTAAAAAAAAAAAAAAAGCACTGGACCATTTTCATGGAAAATTGAAAGCCAAAAGAAGCTGGTAAGAATAATTTCTGTTCATGTAAGATATACAGTAATACTTAGAATTCATCTCAACACAAATATGAATACTATATAAACTGGTTACGATAAATGATTTGAACTAGTCTAATTAGTTAATAGTTAACCATGTTATAGGTTTAAGTTATTAAATATAAGAAGAAATTAAAATATCTGATATCAAGAAAGGGGAAACCAATTTTTACAAAGTAATTGAAGTCAAAGAATTCTAGATTAAAGATCACAGAATTTAACAGATTATTTTATTTACAATACCAGTAAGTCATTGTTGTACATTCACTGAACTGCCTTATAGAACGCTTTAAAATGTCTATTCTTTTCATGAAAAGTCAAATGTCCCTATCTTTTCCTAAAATAGAATCTGACTGTCTTTATAGCAGCTGACATATAGCCCTTCTAGCTTTCTCCACCGGCCTTACACACTGCCAGTTATAAATGCCCCCAGAAAGAGCACCCACTGGGGGAGCACGACCCTCTGCTCAGTTCTGCATGCATCAGTAGCTGCACAGCAGACACATGCACCCTACAGTCACATTGGCTGACACACTAAAGCAAAGGAAAAAGTCAAGATGCGGATACTTCACCTTCGGCCTCTTTTTAAGACTGGTTTGTTCTGCTTTAGATTTCATGACTTTTTTTTTTTTTAAGCACTACCCTAAGGACTCCATTTTGCTACCTAAGATATAAAAAAAAATACTTCTAAAAAACTTCAACCTGTTATACACATATTTATTATATCTAACCAAAAAGCTAGTCTTTGCTTTTTCTAAAACAAAAATATTGATGGCACAACAGCCTCTTCTTATTACTAGCTTTGTATACATTTAAAGTATAAAATATAAATCATTATAAATACTTTTAACTAAATTCAGGGTGATTTCCACAAATCCAGCACAATCCTTAAAAACTCAATGGAAGTTATGCAGTAGCTTACTAGTGTTTTTTTCAACTTAATTTCCAAGAACCCATCCCCTATTTTTGCCTTTGGTTACTTCATCTAACATGGGAGACCAGAACAGATTCACATAGACCTTTATACCATTCCCGTGTAGTCAGCTTCCTGCAACTGGTAAAAACCTGAAAACTACTTAAGAGTCTTCTAACTATGAGTAGAATTTTCAGGGAAGGAAGATAATTCTTTATAGCCAAGCTAATCTTTAAATCTCAGCTCTCACCAAGCAAAAAGGCAGATATAGACAAAATTTATTTTTGTATCTTTTAGGTGTGTGTGTGTGTGTGTGTGTGTGTGTGTGTGTGTGTGTGTGTGTGTGTGTTAGATCTCCCTGGAGCTGCTATTTGGATTTCAGGGACCAAACTTAGGTTCTCTACAAGAATAGAGCCCTCTTTCTAATCCCAGAAAACTGTATGAAAATAAGTGAGGGAGTCAAGAGTGAAAGAATGAGCCAAAGCTTTGGCAACTACGATAGCCAAAAATGTACAATGACATCATTGCAACTCATGACTATGATCAAGCCTCTGTTCACAGCTTTAACAGAATTGTCTGCTACTAATTGGCTAGTTATTTGCCAAAAGGACATATTTCTCTTCAAACAAGAAAAGCTCCCTACTATTGCATACTGACAAATAAATAGGATAATTCTGAAATTCATAAAACACTGACATAGCATAATAGCTTCATTGCCTACATAACTTCAAAGTACCTAAATGAATATAGAAATCTGTTTTCTGTGGCAAATTATTATCAAATCATTATCAATAGTTGTTAGACAAAACTTCTGATTTTTGCAATGTAGTCAAGTTTTTCAAAGTTCTTTCATGAAAAGAAGTAGATTTATAATCCACTTTATAATCCACTCTTTCTTCAGGTAAATGTACTTACAGATGAACGTAACACTCAAAAGAACAGCATTCCCTAGATGAATGATTCCTCTTCCTGCTTAATTCTATTTTCATATATTGGCAGCAATGATAAAATGTTACTGCTTCTCTGTTCTCTTTAACTGTTTCTGATCATCCACCATTCACTTCAAAGTTATCTAGTGCTGCAATCAGTATCAGTGGGTCAATGCTTCTCACAGCACCACATAAATGGTGATGAGCTCTCCACGGATGCAGTGCCAGGGAGGAGGACAGAAATCTCTGGGGCCTTGGGTAGTAGATCAGTGTTTACCATGGTTTATGAATGAGCTTTGGGAGTCCATTCCAAATAGAGGGATGCTCTCTCAGCCTGGACACATGGGGAAGAGCCTAGGTCCTGCCCTGGATGAAATGACAGACTTTAGCGATCACCTCCAAGGAGGGCCTCACCCTCCCTGGGGAATGATGGAGATTGGGTGGGGGGTTGGAGAGCTGGTGGAGGGACAAGGGAGGAGGGTGGGAGAGGGAGCTGGGACTGACATGTGAAACATTCATGTTTCTAATTTAAATAAAAACATATATTGAGAAAAAAATGGTGGTGAGTTCTAACGGTGTTTGCCACCTGAAACTCCCCTACACTGTTAAACATCTAGAAAGAAAAGAGACCCTCTTCTAACTTCATCTAGTACAATCATTCCATACCTCTGGATGTCTTAACACTTCAATTACTGCATCTCACATCTTACTGGACTGCCTGCTACTCGATGCAACTGCTTAATTTAAGGAACATTCATATCCAAAGCAAGTTACTACCATGCACATCACTCATTTAAGGTGCCATACTGAGGTGAAGAGGGGTAAATCAGACATTGCCATTTGAATGTTTCTACCTAATTAAGAACTGCAGAATTATCAACCGCCCCCTTTTTATTTTTCAAGACATGATTTCTCTGTGTAGCCTTTTAGACCAGGCTGGCCTCCAATTCATAAAGATCCACTGTCTTGTGCCTCCTAGATGCTGGGATTAAAGGTGTGAGCCCCCACTGTCCAGATTCTCTCCTTCCCCTTTAAATGTAAAAGGATACTTTAAAATTAGGCTTTAAAATAATACAGTGGGATGACACAGGATCTGAACAACTGTACTGGATTCACTACACTAGGCAGTTCAGATGAATGTGCTTTTTTTTCTCATTCAAACATTAGATGCACATTTTACAGAGTAGAGATAACCTTTAATGGTATTGCAATAATTCTCCAAAAATTGAAAAAATACCAATAAACATATGTTCATAAAGTCCCCAATTGAGGAACTAGAACCTCAAACTGAATTGTAGGAATATTTTTTAGTTAACAGCTGCTCAGAAGTGACTGACATATATATCTCCTAGAGACTTCATTATTCCCACAATTTTAACAGTTACCTTGGCCCAAAACTGTGCTAAAGATGTAATTCCACTGGGTGTGTGTTATCTCTATGAGCAAGGATATACATTGTAGAGGGGTCATGAATTCTTATAGTTCAGAGTGACAGCCTCTGCTCACATCAACTTGACCTGCTACATACAATATAAATAAATGCTGCTTGAGGGAAAAGTTAAAATACAAAAGCATTTTTAAACTGAATAACATTCTAACCTTGATAGAAGACTCAACAGAAAATTAACACAAAAACGTAGAAATTTTCTTTGATAATTGTTTTCTTTTTTAACGGTTATGGGCTTTACCTGCAGTAAGTAACCCACTTACCAGTGGTTTTCAGCACAGGTTTTATTGCTTAGACAGGTCTTGTGTCACACTCAATGATTCTGGTTTTTGACTGTCAGTTGCCATAGGCAAAATCCACACTAGAAAATCAGACTCTCACTCCTCAAAACTAGAGAAGAGAAAACAAAGACTGCACACAGCAAGATCCCTTACAAAGCATCTGTAGACCAAGAGTTTGGATGGAGTAATCTACTTAGATTAACATAATTGTGACTCCAAAGGTCAATTCTAAGATCACAATATAACCTACGCTTTAGAGGTAGAGTGGTGAAATAATGTCAATTACACAAACCACGTGTATTTATCTGATGCCAATGGCAGTTAATACACGAGATTACATAAAGCCTTTAGAATGTGTTCAGCTACAGCATAAGCAAGAACAAAAAAATATGTTACAGGACACAGCTTCTTTTCAAACAGATTTTGTAAGAAGGTTAAATACTGCCTTTTTAAAAAAGGAGTGGTATCCAAACCAAGAGGTTTGGTAGGCATAAGATACAATCATGGGGCTTATTTCAGACCGAACAACTTCAAATTGTCACTTAAGAAAGATATATAAAAGGGGGGGGGTGTTCTGCATGGGGAAGGGAGAGACAGAGAATGATCAATAAGAAGAGTGGTGATAAAACATAAAGATCAGGGTGAGAGGTCACACCCTTCAAATTTCACTTTACTGGCAAACGTTTATACATCCTCATAATCCAAGTGCTTAAACAGACCCTATACAGCATATAAACTAAATATTAAGTTTTATCAAATAGTACCCAAGGAAAACCGATTCAATGTAAGTTAAATTTGCCAAAGTCACTGTTCTGTCGTTTTTAATTACTACATAAACATACCTAGTAAGACAAACAGTAAACCACAAGTGCCCTTGAAAGAATGCTTCTCTGGCCCAGAAAACCTGCAATATATGACATCACAGGGACATGGCCCAAACTAACAGAACATAGCTACTTCCCTTTACACACTCTTAACAGTGCTCTAAAGGAAAGACCCTAATTTCCAAATGCTGGTTCCTTCAGCAAGGAAAACTTAGATTCTTCTAGCAACAAAGGAGCTTTCCTTTATATATTTATATAGGACATGATAACAGAAAGGGTCTCTGATCACAGATATTTACAGAGTCACCAACTTACCAATCAGGTTTGAGTTCATGAAAGGTGTTGGGAATAAGCCTTCATGGGCTCCTAATTGACTGTCATTCAAGTGATCACTGTAATGAGGGCTGTCTGTGAAACCCTAAGGAGAGAAAGGACCAGAATATTAAAGAAAGTACAGTAACACTTACCTTACTAATGCACAGGCTTACACAGGGTGTCCAAACTGAGCTCCTTATTTGTCATTCACAGCACTGAATAGCACTTACCTCCAAGCCTAATGGCCCAAGTTCAATCCCTGAGGCCCACACTGTGGAAAACAAAAATTGACTACTACAAGCTGTTGCTTGACCTCCATGTGCTAACCTCTGCAAACACACACCACCCAACACCATCCCCTCACAAAAATAAATCAGCAAACAAATTTACTTAAAAAATATTTATTGCTATTAAACAAAAGTGAGTTTTTGAAAGCAAACACAAAGATTAGCCCGTTGTCTTCAAAGTTCTCAATGCTTCCAGTGAAAACAACGGCCACAAACATTCTACAGACTACCATTGGAATCATCTATCTCTAAGACCCCATATCATGCAAAAGAAAAGAACAAAGCCAGGCGGTGGTGGTGCACACCTTTAATACCAGCACTTGTGAGACAGAGGCAGGAGGATTTCTATGAGTTCGAAACCACACTGGTCTACAAAGCTACAGAGAGAAACCCTGTCTCAAAAAAAAAAAAAAAAGATAGAAAGAAAAAAGGAAAAATGAGAAAAAAAGCAAAAAACACTTCTAAGTTGTAATGCATCAGGAAAATTCTTCTTTCCACCTATTCCTCCTTAATTACTACTCTTACAAAAAGTCAATTACAGGCTGTACCTAAAATACTTTAAATTATCATAATCAATAAACTAGAAATAGATACATTCTTAAATGTAAAATAAATACAGAATAAAATTTATATGATAAGATATACTCTTATAGAATCTGGCGGTATAAAAAATGAAAACGATAAAATAGCTCATAAGTCGGAACAGGAAATTATAAGCACCATGAAAAAAATAGTCTATGAATATTTCCCAGCAGTTACTATATTTTGCTTATATTCTAACACATTTTCTTAAAGGCAAAGGTGGAACAGGAAACTTTACAAAAGGCCCTGTGGGTTAGAACTGTTCTGGTTCTCAGGCTCCTACACACAACATGGCACTTTTATCAGGAGTGGAGGGTTCCTACTTAACTCGTAAAGCTTCAGGTGACAGCTAGACCTCTGATAACTTAAAATCATAAAAATAAGATGAAACTGAAGAGACAGAACCTGTCCTGCCTAACTGAGACCATTCAGTGTCTCCTGAGGCTATATCACTGAAATTAAAGGAACAGAAACAGACTTCACTATCTCTGTGGAAAGAGATATATTAATTCAATGAAAAGGCTAGATTCCAAGGGCAAAGTTACTGTTGAATCACTAAAACTACTTACAGATGCACTTCCACTGTTCGGTTTTAATCTTCTGGGAGTGCAAATTCCAAATTGAATGGGTTTCCTTTTGTCTACTGCAGAATTGGCGATACATATGTGACAGACAATCAAGAAGTTTTCAAGTGACATTGACGACATTATGAAATGACTATTAACAATTTATTCTAAGCCGGGTGGTGGTGGTGCACACCTTTATCCCACCACTTGAGAGGCTGAGGCAGGCAGATCTCTGTGAGTTTAACACCAGCCTGGTGTACAAGAGCTAGTTCCAGGACAGGCTCCAAAGTGACACAGAGAAACCCTGTCAAGGAAGAAAAAAGAAGAAGAAGAAGAAGAAAAGAAAAAAGAATTTACTCTAGTGACCGCAGTCACAGTCTAATCTGTCACACCCAAGGAGAGATGTACCAAATAGGATGGTCTTGACAAGTCATTCCTTGGAGTTTATTTTTATTCTAAAAACTAACACTGTACAAGTACTAACTGACATACCAAGATACAATACACCTCACCCCAGTACTCTTTCTGCCACCCCTTCTGACTGCCATTCTTAGGCAAAGTGTAAAAACAGGGAATCATACCCTAAATACTCACTGAAATGTGCTGAGGCTCATAAAACAGTAATACTCTAGAAAAAAAGGCTAATTTTCAGCCATATACATCAAATAGATGAATAAAAATGGAGAAATGTATGAAACTTAAGAATTCCAGTTAAAAAGTCAAAGCAATTAAAATATTTTAAATGTGTGTGTTAACCTATAGATTTTAAAGTAAACAGTGAGTAGCAGAGCTTCAATAAAATGCATTCTAAAAGATTCACTTCCTACTTTATGCTCACTATGCACTAAGTTGTAAGAACTTAGAAATGCTGGCCTTTTCTGTAACAAGAAAACAGACCTGAGAAGATCAAGCTGCTTCTATATTACCTAACTTAAACCACGCATAATCACTTAACATTTCTATATACAACCTCTAGTACTCAAGATCCATCAGCTGATATATTTATACTACCAATCAATCAATCAACGATCAACAAAGTCTTGCTTTCCTAAACTCAAATGATTTCCCTAGCACAGCCTAAATAGTTGGTGCTTTTACAAGTATGTGCTTATCACCTTTCAGCAAAATTTTTAAATCTTAATATTTAGGGGGCTGGGAAGAGATGGCTCAGTAGGTAAGAACACTTACTCATTTAAAAATGAGAACCTGAGCCAGGCAGTGGTGGCACATGCTGTAATTCCAATACTCAGGAGGCAGAGTCAGGTGGGTATCTGAGTTCAAGGACAGCCAGGGCTACACAGAGAAACCCTGGGAGGGAGGAGGCAGCAAGGGGGAGACAGAGACTCAGGGTGGTGGGGGTCTTCTTGTATTATTAAACCTGGGTTCTCAGCACTCATATATAAACAAAGCCAAGTCTAGCTGTGCACTTCTGTAATCTCGTAACTATAGGAGACAAAAGTTAGGAAGACCCCAGGGGTTTTTTGGCCACCAGCCTAGCTCCAGGTTCAGGGAGAGACCCAGTCACAAGGTAATAGGAAGAGAGTGATAGAGCTGAACACCCCATGTCCACCTCTTACCACATCCTCATGCATATGCACATCTCTCCCTCCCTCTACTGAGAAGTATTGTGCAGGGCTGGCAAGATAGTTCAGCAAGTATCAAAACACACAAAGCAATTGCATCTAGTACAAAAAGAAACTGCAACCTAATCCACTATCAGAAGAAAATGACAACCTATATGCACATGTATATTCTGCTTAGTTCAATCAAACTGTCAACAAGTTTAAGGGAATTGCATTAAAAGAATAATGAATATATGACTTAAACTGCAAGTAAAATGGTAATTGTTTTCTTTAAAAAGTATTCTCTAATTCAGGCATTTAGTCCAAATTGTTATTGCCTTACTGTTTATGTCTCAATGAAAAATTCATTAGTTACAAAAAATGAATGATTACTTGTATTTGCATATAACACTAAGTTTTCAGAACAAAAATAGGTGAGCCTTCCTTTGATATTTAACATCTCACAGTAGTACTATTTTATTGCATTTTTATGTACTTCCTAAGAGATAGGAGCATGTACCACTTTAACATTAAGACTAACAGCCAAAACTGAAACACACACACACCATATATTTCAGATACATGATCAATAAGAGTTCTCACCATTAAAAAGAACAAGTGCATTCTCTCATTTTCTGCCTGCCTGTTCTCAGTTTGTCAATCTACACTGCCAATATCTATCCCAGATGTCAACATAAATGCTTGCCAATACTTGTCAATCTTGTCTTTCCTTCTCTCTCCGCTTTTTTTTTTAAAGATTTATTTATTTATTATGTATACAGTGTCCTGTCTGCATGTATGGCCACAGGCCAGAAGAGGGCAACAGATCTCATTACAGATGGTTGTGAATCATCATGTGGTTGCTGGGAATTGAACTCAGGACCTCTGGAAGAGCAGTCAGTGTTCTTAACCTCTGAGCCATCTCTCTAACCCGTCTTTCCTTCTCTTGACCTTTCATTTTCTTCTTACCTATCTCCTAGATCTTATATCCTTTATCTGTCTTTTCAGGTCATTTTAATCTAGTTACCACGGAAATTAAAAGTACATATGAAATATATGCACAAAATACATTTATTATTGCCTATAACATATTAAGCACTCTGCTATTCTAGGCTACAAGATGAATAAAGCAATCTTAGTGTTCAAACAGCTCACAGTTTGGAAGAAGAAAGAGAAAACTTTCCCCCTTCTCTCAATACTTTTCCAGGAAATCTATCTAAACCGTGCTACATCATAGTCTCCAAAGTCTTATTAGTATTACTAAATTTTCTTTTAGCACAAGGGGCAGGATAGTAGGACCAGTAAATTTAAAATTGAAGACAAATGCCAAATTTCAAATTAAGCTTCCTGTGCAAAAACATAAATAGCATAGATAAACAAATGTCAGCACAGCTTCAAGTGCATTAAGGCAGAAAGTACTTCCAGGCAGGTCATAATTTGCTGTAAGACACTTAAAGCAAATGAGACACATTGATAATTAGAAAACACAAGCATAGCTCAAGTTCATAACAGCTAATTTTTATAAGTATCTTCTATGACCTAGCATTTAAGGGATTACATGTATTCAGTCAGTTAATCTGACAGCATTTTACTTAATGTTAGTTGCTTAAAAAACACAAAACCCTTTAGTATCAAGAAATCTAGTAAAAGGTAGAAAGCATGTTAATGCTTTCCACTGGGTAAGCTACTCTGAGGTTATCAGAGTATCTTAGGACCCAGAAACCCTTCATACAAACAAACAAACAAACAAACAAAAAATACCCACATCTTCACAGCAGATCCTTTAGTCCTGACTGACTAGCCACTGACTTGAGCCTTTAGTCCTGACTAACATCTTACCTAGAGTCTGGCAAGTGACACTGAAGTCAAGGACCAGGTCAAGCTATACGAGATTTCTAAAACTACAGAAACTAAATGCATCATTTTAGGCTGCTAAGCTTGTGTTATTTAACACAACAAGAGACAAATAACTCAAATATTAAAAAGGTAAGAAGTATTATGTGCAAATGCAACTTAGAACAAACAGACAAATGGCACATTTCTTAAGTTATCTATGTCAACTAATCTTGTTTTAAAAAATACTTGAACAGCCCTTTATTTATAGAC